TGTGCATGATTAAAGGTTCTTTGCATGGGGAAATTGTTCTTCAGATTGATGGAGAATAATAATAACAATAATAAGTTACTTTATATAGTGCCTTAACAATCCCTAGGTCGCTTTACATAACATGTAGAATGTGTTGTATATGGTTCTATATAGCACCATAAAGGGTTCTTCTATTGTCACAAGGTCATATCACATTGTAACAATAGCAGAACCCCATCTACAGCACATTTTCCATCAATGTGAAGAACCATTTCACCAAGCAAAGAACCGTTAATCATGCAAATGGTTCTTTGAGTGTTCATGGTTCTATATAGGACCACCTAAAGCACATTCTCTATCAATCTGAAAAACCTTTTCAACATGCAAAGAACCATTTCACCATGCAAATGATTCTTTGTGTTCATGGTTCTGTATAGAACCATCTACATCACATTCTTCATCAATCTGAAGAACAATTTCACCATGCACAGAACCTTTAATCATGCAAATGGTTCTCTGAATGTTCATGGTGCTATTTAGGACCTTCTACAGCACATTCTCCGTCAATCTGAAGAACCTTTTCACTATGCAAAGAACCTTTAATCATGCAAATGGTTCTTTGAGTTTTCAAGATTCCACACAACCATCTACAACACATTCTCCGTCAATCTGAAGAACAATTTCATCATGCAATTCATTCTTTGAGTGTTCATGGTTCTACAAAGAACCATCTACAGAACATTCTCCTTCAATCTGACCATTTCACCAAGCAAAGAACCTTTAAATCATGCAAATCTATACAGAACCATTTTCTTTACTAAAGAACCTTTGAAGAACCATCTTTTTTAGAGTGTATAGTTAAATATTTAATATCAACAGCAGTCTTGAAAGCTCCTGGACCTGCTTGGATTTCTACCATGGCAATAAACAAAAAGCTGTGTATGGGAACCGAAGTGGTCTTTTGAGATTTATTGGCCTTTTGTAGAGCAACAAAGGTTCTAGCTTCTAATTAGCACTGTGAGGCCTTCAGAGGGTGGCAATGTAATACAAGGCATATACAAGAGGGTAATAATGGAACAGAAAGGAGAAAAATAGAACTGCGATTCAGTGATCAGCTGGAGTATCAGCACAAAGAATGCATGAGCTGGAAAATGATTACTGGACCGCTCGGAAAAATAACCACACGAATACACGAGGACGCACACACAAACAGAGATAGAAAGGTTTTTGCGTATTATGGTCTGGCTGTGGGCAGGGCTGTCACATTGCATTGTTCGGGGTCAGTGGCGTGGCTCTGGGTGCGAGACCAGAGGACGAGAGCCCTCTCCTCCCTCCATAAAATCACTCTCTCGCCTCCTGCCCAGAGCGAAAGATGATTCGGAAAAAAAAAACAGCTATGCACAAACGAGCTCCACGAGCAGAAACACAGGAAAACGGGAACATCTCCTTTTAGAAGGTCAATGAATAGGAGCGCGACCGCGGTTATTTAAATAGACCCGTGAAGAATGGGCCCTGCGCCGGGCGAACGGACGGACGAGAGGGCGAAAGAACGAGATTAAAATAGAGGGAGGAGAAGAAGGAAAGGAGGGGTAATGAACGGACTGTGGGATATACTGTGTATCTGAGCGGAACATCAGAAGTCGAGCTTTCGGCAGTAGCTCTCTCTCTCTCTGTGCTGGGAAAGGGGGGATGATGTTTTGTCCTTTTTTTATACAGGATGCAATTTAAACATGGCCTCAGGGTTCAGTGCATCATGAAAAGGATGAGAGAGAGAGAGAGAGAGAGAGAGAGAGAGAGAGAGAGAGAGGGAGGGAGGGAGGGAGAGAGTCCGCTCCACTTCTCTTTTGTAGTCCACACTCTCTCTCTTTCTTCCTGACCTGGTGCAGGTCACTGTGTACTTGCTGACAGAGAGGAAAAGAGAGGAAGGAAACAGGGGCAAGTGGAGGGAGGGGGAGAGAGGGACTTGAGGAATTTTGGGACAGTGCATTATTTCTTCTTAAATGGAGGGGTTTATTTATACGGCCTCAGCTGACGCAACATAGTGCGAGACTGATTGCTCAGCAGCTGTTACAAATGGTGAAAATCTGCCTTCAGCTGAGGCGCAAATACGGACGTTCTGACCTTACCCAAAAAAATCGAGATCGGCGCCGATTCAGGTCTATTTTAACGAGAAACAGAAAGCATTGTAACTGGAATGGGAGTCGGAAATGACGTAAACAGCCATCCATAACCTGTAATAGTAACAACAGTAACAGCGATCTGAATGTCTGCAGTGAGGAACTCATTTAAAGTTGAATAAAAAAAAAATCATAACATCTCTCCATGTTTTGAGTATGTATAATGTAACCATGTGGTGAATACTATGCAAAACTACACTATATGGACAAAAGTATTGGGACGCCTATACATTACACCTAAATCCACATGCATTAATATGGAGTTGGTCCCCCTTTGCAGCTATAACAGCTTCCACTCTTCTGGGAAGCTTTCTACAAGATGTTGGGGAGTGTCTGTGGGAGTTTTTGCCCATTTATCCAGAAGAGCATTTGTGAGGTCAGACGGTGATGTTGGACGAGAGGGCCTGGCTCACAATCTCTGTTCTAGTTCATCCCAAAGGTGGTCAGTGGGGTTGAGGTCAGGGCTCTGTCAGGGCCAGTCAAGTTCTTCCACACCAAACTCACCCAGTCATGACTTTATGGACCTTGCTTTGGGCTTCGTCTCTAAGCTGTTGTCGATCCTAGTTGCCTCCACCTTACAATAATAGCACAGTTGTCTGGGGCAGATCTAGCAGGACAGAAACTTCTCAAACTGACTTGTGGCAGAGGTGGCATCCTATGACAGTGCCATGTTTAGAGTCACTGAGCTCTTCAGTGTGACCCATTCTACTGCCAGTGTTTGTCTATCAAGACTGCACAGTTATGTGCTTAATTTTCTCCACCTGTTAGTAATGGGTGTGGCTGAAACACCTGTACTCAATAATGAGGAGGTGTGTCCCAGTACTTTTGTCTATATAGTGTACGCTCTGCCACCTACCACGAGTGGCAAGCCACCAGAAAAATCCCTTTTTTTATGCGTAATTTGCAACCGTCTGAAACTGAAACTATTGTGTGAATGTTCTGTTTTTCCACCATGCTACTCCTGGCATTTAAAACGGGGACAAAGGGGAGCTGCTGCTGAGTTAGAGCGACATGAAATCACAAAGCATTCATAACACTATACAAAGACTATTTACCATAAAAAAAAAGAGTTTAAACTGTATTCCACTATTCAAAATTAAGTGCAAAATACTGCAGTAACTAGCAGACAAATTATCAGGTAGGTCAATTCTATCTGATCGTAAGCCAAAATCAAACATAACATAAAATTAAAACAAGGCCATTAAAAATTAGGCCGCGATAAAATAATAGAACAGAACAGAACAGAACAGAACAGAATGCCTGTCATTGCATAAAATATACAACGAAATGAATGAGTACTTTTCCTAATCAGTGCAAACCTAGACAGAAAACTAACCAAGACAGACAAGTTAAGAAACATAAACATATAAAATAATTTAAGAGAATAAAACATTGCGCTAAAATGTAATAATATAAAATTATTAAAAGAGAAAAAAGTGCTTTTCCTAATAAGCTAAACTCAACAGGTGGCAGTAGTCCTCATACCTGATGTGCTTATTCTAGTGTTTACTGCTCTTAGAGTTCTGATGGCCCAGAGAACAAAAAACATACTACAAAGTAATTTAACTGTAGTACCAACTGGCTGAATCATGTGGCTATAATATCTATGTAAATACAAAGATTAGATTATAACAGGCCAATACTTCATGTTAAAGTACAGGGTGGTTAAAAAAATAATCATCCGATTTCAAAGCGCCATATTTTTACAACTGTGAGGCGCCAAGGCGTAGGAACCAATCACATACCAATTGAAAGAGGGGGTCACAGAGTTTCTGACTGTCAGTGGAAGATGGCTCCCTTCAGTCTGTTAGGAGATGAGACCCCTGAGCAGAAAGCGTTCTGCGTTCTCCACTTCAATAAGAGTGAATCCGTCATAACTGTGCAGCGTGATTTTCATGGGCAGTGAACCTCCAACAGCTCAGAGTGTTCGCCGTTGGTTCCACAACACTGGATGATCTCCGAAATCACACTGAAAGAGTCATGAGTGTACTGATACCTGACATGCTCAATCGAGTATGGCATGAATTTGACTATGGCGTTGATGTTGACTGTACAGCTGGAGGAGGTTCATATTGAGCACTTATAAAATTACATAATAAACTTTATGCTCATTTAAACCATTTACAGTTCACTGCATTGTTCTATAATGATTTACAAGTGAAATGAATCATTTTGAAATCAGATGAATCTTTTTGAATCACCGTGTACTTGGATTCGATCGAGAGGCAAAAAACTGGATGGGACATATTGTCAGATTTGATGTTGACTCTACAAAACTGATCACTTTTGAATACGACTGTTTTGCTGCCTGTTCTGTCCTCCAACCAACTAAACCCCAGAAATCAGAGCCCCTGCAATTTATAATCCAGTTCAGAAAGAAAAAAGCCAGTTATTTGAGTGTGAGTGTGTCTGTAGCTTAAGCCCCGCCCAATTCCATGCTGCAGCCAGATGCCTTATTTTGATCACTGACAGTGGTGTTCCCACGAAATACGATAAATGAGAACAATTTTACATTTTCATACACTGTTTCAGCAACACTTCATAAGGCTGCACGACACCTACACAAGCCTTTCATATGAACTGACGCAAACTTATTCAGACATTTATAAAGGCTCAGCTGTCAACACTGAGAAAAATAAAGCATCCTTCATGACTGAGGCTTGTTGGATTAAGCTTTATATGGGCTTATGTAACCTCATAAATGCTGCCCTTCAGTTAAACGGTACCACTGTTTCCAATGTCCATTTCATGGACTTTTGGATTCTGTACTGACATCCTTAGTTTTCATTTCATTGGGCGCACAGTGGTCAAACAAAACAAAACAAGAGAGGAACGTGCACTCACCTCGGCCTGGAAACTCTTCAGCAGTGGAGCTACCTGCTTCCGAAGATCCTGAAAGACAAACAGAGAAGGGAAAGAGGTCAGTGGGAGTCTCAGTGGTCGGTAGACTTACAGACTTGTGGATACATACGGCATCTGATTCCATGGAAGACTAAAAACAAACACAAACACTTTGACTTATTTTTAAATCAGTTAATCGTCATAATTTAATCTACAGATTCAAACAGAAGTCGTCACTGTCCGAAGAAAAAATCTCCACTTTTTTCTACGTTATCTGAGTGCAGCAGCTGCCCTTTACATTGTCTGAAACTTTCATGACCACTGGACCAATAGAAATGGCCCAAAACATTAACTTACACTGAGATTAAAGAACGTTTTTGCTCCTCTCCTCTAAAGCTGCCCTTTTAGAGATACTTTTTTCTTTGGACAGCGACAAAATATAGAGAGAATACAAGGTGGTGAACCTTAAAAAACCTTGTGCAATTTTCATAACATACATTCTAGGTTTATTAACAAATATTCTTGGATGAATAAGATGACTATTAACTTTATTTCTTTGTGTATGTCTGTTATGGCTTTTCAGGTCATTTCTAATTAAAACGGTGGATATTTCTGTTAAAGGGTTTTTTGTAGGAAATCTGAAAAGGAGGCCTGAACTGTCCTTTTCAATCATATAAGCACACGCGGCATGACTTGTGCATGAATCAGTTGTTTCCTCTGAAGTTACCGCTCACGTAAGAGGACATCAAAGCTGACCATACAAATATGTACCCTGTCCATTAACCCGCTGCCCCGCAGGCACATACGCACACGTAAGTGTATCTCAGAACGGCGCAAACCTTCAAACCACGCTCGGCAAACGCATTTATTGTGTTGATTGCGATATGGTGGCCAAGATAAGCAAGGACGGCGAAGACGGTTGAATCTACAGCAGCAGGAGAGTGAGAGATAACTTCCTGAGACAAGCAGCTACTGTTTTCTCAGAAAAAATTAAAACATGAGAAAGCACTTTCTGCTCACAGATTCCTGGAAACAGTTCAAGAGCCGTAGCAGACGTGTTACTCGGTGAGGACGAATAAAGATATAATGAGACAGACCACAGCGGCGATCAGAAAAAAAACATGGAACGAAAACAAAACGGCGGATGTATGATTACTCGTGCAGGAATGTACTCAAAAAGACTCAAAACCAATTTCTCCCATAATTGCTGACCAGGGTTATGAAGTGAATGAGAGGAAATTATTATTTTTCATAAAGCCAAGAATCAAACAATTACAGAAAAGGTTATAAATCAAAGCATGAAGTAGAATCTGAAAGTTTACAGTGTGTTTTAACCTCTTCCAACTCCTTGAGACCACCGGCGGTTCCAAAATGCACTTCGTCATATTCTTCATAACTTTCATATTTCATAAGCTACATTCAAAAGGTGGGGGTCATATGAGAGCTGTAACTGTCTTCTTTCCAGTCAAATAGATGGGTGATGTAATTTCAAACCCTTATAATAAAAGAAGCTGAACTCTCAATTTTTTTGTCTACTGAAAGTCGACCCATTTTTCCACAAATCTGGGCTGTAAACTATAAGCAGATGGCGTCTCTTCAGTGATCTGCTCTGTAAAAATTATTTTTATTAAATAATACAAAGAGCGTCTAAGATTTTTGGCTTTCAGCAGTAAATTGTAAGCATATAGCAATATGTGTAGATCATAAAACACATGTTCTGTTAATTTGAGGGGAGCTTTTAAAAAATAATAATAAATAAAATAAAAATTAATATTTATTTCATGCAGTTACTGAATAATTTGCCTTACGATTTGGTCATGTAAATTCAGATGGACAAACCAAAATATACCCTGGTCAGCAGGCCTAATGAAAACGATTGCTAAATACAATAATTGACTAAAACGCGATTGATTGCTGGGTTACGTCATTGATCTCCACAGAACATTATTATCAGAATAAACCTTATAAATGGGATCAAATCTTCTAGAAGATTCAAGCTTATATACATACAAAATTAAATTCTGACAGCAGAATTAATTCACTGTTCCAGACAGTCAGGAAGCCCAAAGCTAAATTTTGACCAAACTGAGAAGTTAAAATGCTCTTTGCAGGTTCTACAAAGATAAAACACTTCAAAACCATCAATTAATCAATCAGATATAACCAAACTGCAATCAAATACATGTAATACCCAGATATCATTAAGTTAACATTAAATTGGAAGGGATTGTAAGTGACACATAACACATTAATAACACATATACCACGCTCAAATAATCATTTTCAATTAACTATTATAGAATAATTAATATGATTCCATAACAGTAAACAAACTGTGTCTGAATAATATTGGAATCACATCCCTGGAATCATTACTTTATTTCATTACTCTTCATCATTAGAAATGATTAAACTTATTACAGAATCAATCACCATAATTAGGTTATTACATTATGAAATTACTAATTTGTAAACTATAGCTGTCCAAACAGGGTCTATGTCCAACACTGAGACAGCTGCACTATATGTCCAAAGGTATCTAGACTTTAAGGCCCGGCCAGCATGAACAGTGTGGTTGATATAGATTTCAGGGGGCTTAAAATCTGATAATATCAGCCACTATAACTTTATTCATATTTTATATAACTTTATTTTTATTAATATAAGTGTATTAGCATGTCAGATTTTAACGTTACACTCCACTCCAATAGTTCTAGTTAAATGGTGTTTTACTGACTGATATGACTCTCTGTTTTCAGTTATCACACTTTTCAAACAACAGAAAATATTCATTACAAATAATATATTATTGCCCTGGGGGCGGAGTTACCCAGAATGCTTTGTGCTTTTGATTTCGGTATGATTTTTTTGCGTTATAAATGTTCTTCATAAATGTTCTCAAAGGTTACGTTTTGATGCATTTTATATTTTTTAAGTACTTTTTCTATTCAGATCCACCAACTCATTATATATGGCCATGATATAGTTAAACAGAGGGTAGTTCATATTAAGCTACCCAATGGCAAAGCTGTCTAAGGCAGGGCAGCTCAAAGTCTGGGACAACCATTTTGGGGTGCCAATGTTTGCAGCAGGCCGAGAGCCAAAAAGACAAAATAATATACAAAAAAAGGAGGCAGGCAGACCTCTAGAGTTTTAAGAAATGTATTTTAAAAAAATAATGATATATTTTGTTGCTAAAATACTCCAAAAGCACATTTTTAAAAGGTAAACTGGGTGAGAGGTGAGGTGTTAGGGAATGTTCTGATAGGCCAACTTTGGGCAGCCCTGGTCTAATGGTTCGGACACAGATGATGGTACAACCAAGAAAAGGGCTAATTATCAGCAATATTACCATCCAAAACCAATAATACCATGGGTCTCATATCACTGGCCAGCCAATATATCAGTCAGGCCACAGACATCCCTTCTAATGAGTGAATTCAACTAATTTAAGGTGCACATACTGCTGACGCAGGGGTTCAGCAGCGCCCACACAGCTTTAATCTGCAAAGAAAAGCAGAGCCAGTAAAATGGGACGCTCTGGAAAAGCCACACATGAGCCTTAGGTCACCATGCCCAATGCCAAGCATGGGCTAGAGGGGTATAAAGCACCCAGCACTGGGCTGTGCAGCAGTGGAACTGTGTTCTCTGGAGTGATGGAGCTCCATCCAATTCCTTTGGGATGATTTATGATCCAGAACTGACCATCCAACATCCTCAATAATGTTCACAGCAAATGTTCCAACATCTAGTGTAAAGCCTTCCCAGCAGAGCAGAGGCTGTTACTGCAGCAGTGGAGGACAAACTCACTATTAACACCATTGATTTATATAGTGTTTATGGCAATATACATACACAATAGCATGGTACACGACTGGATTCATACAATGAAGATCTGTCTGGGCATTTGCGTCGCCACCATATGCGTCAGTCTTCGATAGGTCAGACTGGGGTCAGACAAGGTCGCCAAGGTCAGAGTGAGAAGGTCAAAGGTCAGCAGGCTCAAGGCCTAGCAGCTGGTCAGAGCCGTGTTGTCACATGAGCGATCAGAGTGGCTTAATAAGTAGCCGTGGACTTTTTACCCAGCCTCCCCCGAGACCGTCTGAGCTCCGCATGTGTATGTGTGCTGGCTCCTATCCGGATAGCGTTTATGTAAGCGCTGCTCAGAGGTCCTGGTGACCCACAGGAAACCTCTGTCAGCAGCTGGTTTACATATAACACCCCGATCCCTGCCAACACACACACACTCCTCCTGCGCCGGGAAAGCCTCTGCAGTTACGGCTGCACAAAGCGCACATGAAAGCCAGCGGCTGCTGTTTCGCTGTTATTCCAGATCGGCTGCGCGATCGCAGGGGGTGGCAAAGCCGCAGAAAAGAAAGAGGGAGAAGGACTGAAGTGTGTTAGAAGAGGTTACAGACTGAAATAGACACTTCACACACGAGGAATAACAACAGAAAAAAGCTCTTCGACTGTCAAAGCTGAACAAAGCGAGGCAGATATGGATAGCAGGGAGCGTGTATGATTGACTTCTTGTGATTCAGAAACAGAAGGTAGAGCTGAGAAGAGAGAGGATGTTGGGGAATGAGAGACTCTGGAACACAGCCAGTGCAGTGAAAGTGTGTAAAGCCCCCCCATTACCTGAGGTCTCGTACAGAGAAGTATGTTTTAGGTTTGTGTCATTCAGCATGGTATCAAATTAAAGGGGAATTCCACCAGAATTTCAGCATAATTCAGTGGTTAAGATGTGAACAAAGTCTTTTTAGAGTGAAGACAGTGGTGACGATAGGAACCAGACATGCTTCTAGACCAGAGGTGTCAAACTCAACCGCTAAAGAGGCCAAATAAGATATATGATAAAATATAACAAGACCTTTCTTCCTGTGTGCTGAGTGTTACTTATTTGATTTTTAAACAGCTGCTTCAAAACAGAAGCAGCCAGTAAATGTCATCACACATTACATCCTGGATACCATGAGTAAAGAGCACAAAACAGCATTAAAAAGCCAAAAATAAACCGCCTGGCAATAGAGACACATTTTATGTGCATTACA